CATTTTATCGGTAATTCATTTCTATCTTGATGGATGGTACTTTTCAACCTCCCCCCCTTGTTAAAATGTAGCAGAATTTTTTTTTTTAATATTTTCACATTATATTTTTACTAGTCTTTTGCAACTATATTACTATTGGTCATTTTATCGTCAATTTATTTGGTACTTGATGGTTGGTATTTGAGAACTCGCTCCACCCCCACCCCCCTTTTAAATGTTGTACATTTCATTTTGTATTTTCAAACTATATTTTTATCCGTATCTATTCTCAAATTTGCCTCTCCTACAAAGGTAATATGATTGTCATTTACAACAGCAATATTATAATTAGTCATTTTATCGGTAATTTATTTCATTCTTGATGGATGGTACTTTTGAACCCCCCCCCCCATTTTAAAATGTTGCAGAAATTTTTTAATATATTCAAATTATATTTTCACTCGTATCTACTCTCAAATTTGCCGTATTTACACATATAAAATAATTGTCATTTATAACTACAATATTACAATTAGTAATTTATCGGTAATTTATTATAGTTTTAAGGATAGTTAGAAGTACATATTTTACAAATAAATTTAGTTTTATATACATAGTAAAATAATAATTATAGCAATAATAAAATAATAATAATAATAAAAAACAATACTGACATTAATATATTCTTTTAAATATTAATTATTCATAATCGATTGATGAACCCACGAGAGAAAAGCAGAAAGAGAAAAAATGTAACGGGAAAAAGAAAATAATATATTTAAAAGGATTGTTCCAAATAAGTATAATTTGTAATCAATAAAATATCACTGATTATTTTTTTATTTCTAATCGCTATAACTACGCTATAATAGCTATATATTTGTTAAGGGATTTCAATGCAAAATTCTAAATTGCTTTTGTATAAGTTTAAAGTTTTTTTAAAAAATTTTCCTGGCTATTGAAAAAAATAAGTAAAATATGATTAATTCTCTTTTACTTTTAATGGATAAATGAAAGGATTTTTACGGAATTATCTTTTATTTTTAATCTCTATGTGCACGTTTTTAAGGGATTTCAATACAAAATTCTCAATTGCTTTTGTATAAGTTTAAAGTTTTTTAAAAAAATTTTCCTGGCTATTGAAAAAAATAAGTAAAATATGATTAATTATCTTTTACTTTTAATGGATAAATGAAAGAATTTTTAAGGAATTATCTTTTATTTTTAATCTCTACGTGCACGTTTTTAAGGGATTTCAATACAAAATTCTCAATTGCTTTTGTATAAGTTTAAAGTTTTTTAAAAAAAATTTCCTGGCTATTGAAAAAAATAAGTAAAATATGATTAATTAATTCTCTTTTACTTTTAATGGATAAATGAAAGGATTTTTACGGAATTATCTTTTATTTTTAGACTCTATGTGCACGTTTTTAAGGGATTTCAATGCAAAATGCTATGTAATTACTTTGTAATTGTAGCAATTTAAAGGCGTATTTCTAGTATTTTCCTCACTGTTACAAAAAAATATATAAAATATGATTATCTTTTGTTTTTAAATGAGATATTTTTTTATGAGATTTCATTGCAAAAATGGAGAAGTACCGTTAAACCGACAAAAGTTTAATATGGAAAATACTAAAGTCTAAAAAGTCTGAAAGGAGGTAAATTAAATATACAAATTAAATTATAATCGGTCATATTTCATTTTTGACATATATCAACACCTTTTTTGGCGGGACTTCAGGATTAAACGCTGAAGTACCGTTATAGTAAGTACTTAAAAAGATTTAATTCGAAAATACCCCACTGCTAAACAAATCCAAAAGGATAGTTTAGAGTAAATGTTTTACCGACCCAATAAAATATAACCATCTTTTATTATTAATAGATAAAAGTAAATAAATTTCGACGGAAAATGCAGAAGTACCGTTATAGTATTTTAAATTCTAAAGTCTAAAAAACCAGGATGAATTATTAAGGCTAAAAGAAATTATATTTTATTTTTAATGTCTAAATAGAAAGTACTTGATTTGTTTCAATGGATTTCGTTCATTTCCGAAGGTAGAAATTGTATGAATTAAATTATAAGTTAGTCCAGAAAAGAGTACTGTAATTTTTTTTATGTTGGTGATTTCAATGCCAGAAGATAGTATTTTCTATTTAGGATGAGGATGGGCCAAAAAGAATATTTATTTTTCAAATAATTGCACTTAAACTGTATGTATAGGTAGAAAGGGTGGATGTTTTATTTAGTAGAGATCTACTCCTTCGCATTATTCAAATTTTATTACAGTTATAATTATTCATATGTTGATCTTTTCAATTTGCATTAACAAACAAAGGAAGCGTGCAGAAGAATAAAAAATAATAATTTTGAGGTGTTTGTTTTGTGTGTAAAAGTCCGTCCTTGGTCTGGATGTCATTAAACTTTGCCGAGGAACTGGTCCAGCCGAGGTGATTTTTGCACTTTTTTTTCTTTTCCGTATCGACCACGCCTTGGGCACCATCGTATATATCATTTTTTTTCACTCCTCTCCCGTAAAAAGGATAATCAATCCAGATTTCCTTTCCCCCCGTGTCAGATGCCGTTTCTGCCAGTTCGTTCAACTCTCGGAGTTTTTCAGTATTCAAGACGCGTCTCTTCGCGTCTTCAACGCCTTTTTCTTCCCCGGCGGAGATTACAGTTTGTTTACTCGTTGTTATCGCCTAGAAACGGCAGATACGGAAATATGATTTTAATGTCGGTTCGTCACAATCGTGAAATTGTCAAAATCGCTGGACCGGGTGGCGTAGATCAAACATTAAGACTGAAGGAACCAAAATACTTTAGAAAAAACAAAAATAAAGCAATAAAATTGACCATAATAAAATAAATTGGGGATCGGAGTTTTCTACATTGCCTAAATCACAACAGATCATGGCGGATCTTGACCTAAGCGGCCTGAACATTTCATGAAAACTTGTGCCACAGTACATTAAAAACACCTCTGATTTATTTTTATTTTTAATTTTATTCATTAGGCGCTTTAACCCAACTAAAAATCAATAAAATTAAATGTTTAGTTAAATGAATGAATAGTTAGATGCTCTGAGTCTAGTTTGTCCATTATCTAAAGCCGTTTAAACCGTTTTGACAATCATATTTCGGCCATTTTATCAAAGAAACAACGAGAACATGCGTATCCAAGAATGTGGTATTATGTACGAATAAATATTATTTTATTTTTTTTTTATTTTAGGGCCGGTAAGCTACAATGGTTATCACCAGCTCTCTCTTTCTTTGTTTTTCTTTTCTTGTCTTTCTCACGTTTTAATCCAATTTCTTTTCCCGTTTCTTCAGCCAAGTTATGATCAGAACAGTTAAATTTGTTACTCTATCTTTTCTTTACACTTCTGTTAGCACGTTGTCCTATGTTAGCATCAAAAATAACATAAATAACAAACACAAATGCGCTTAAAACAGAAAGAAGATAAAACAGCTAGCCCTACTATTCACGCTAATAAATTACGTCCACACTACAATTCAATCATACTGCCCAGAGTCCTGATATTACTCATAGAAATTGGGTATAAATCCTGTTATTCACGTTAATAAATTATATTCTTACTATCCCCAGAGTCCTTGATATTCCTGGAGGTAATAAGCCCTACTATTCACGCTAATAAATTACATTCACACTTCCCCAGAGTCGTTGATATTCCTGGAGGTAATTGGGTATAAGTCCTGCCATTCACGCTAATAAATTACATTCACACTTCCCCAGAGTCGTTGATATTCCTGGAGGTAATTGGGTATAAGTCCTGCCATTCATGCTAATAAATTACATTCTCACACTACAGTTAATTTACATTACCCCAGAGTACTCATCATTTCTCAGGATAATTGAGGATAAAGCCTTTCAGTCATTCTAATAAATTACAATTATGCTACCCCAGATTACTTGATACCTTCGGGGTGTCAGTGTTTTAATAAAAAACACCGACACCCAAAAGTTGATATGACCTCTGCTGTTACGAACCCCCATATAAAAAAAGAAAAAAAATTCCATAACTTCGCAAATTGTAAGTAATCCATTTTTAATTAAATAATTCAATTTGTCTTAAATAGCTGTTTAATACTATGTGAAACAACATACAGTCTCCACGGAAAATCTTTCATAATTTTAATCCAGACAAAAAACATCTAGCTTCCGGATTAAAACAAGTACTGATAGCAATTATTTTCCTATGACAAATTAGACTTACTTTGTAGAAAAACATTCCTCTTTCCAACGAGATATATTATGACATGATTTTTTAGTTTAAACTGGGAAAGTAGGGAGAGTAGTGAAAAATTCTATTAAAAGTTGTGTTTACCCTCCCCCTATCTTTTTCTCTTTCTTCACCATTAAAATTGTATAGGTCCTTCTCTCTCTTAGCCAATTTTGTTTAATAAATAGAGAGACAAATTAGCAAATATGAACATCTAAAAGTACTGAAACTTTTGGTCCAATCATAGTGAATTTCCGAATTGAGCAGTTAAAAAAGCTTGTTTCATTTAATCTAATAATTGTGGTCAAATACTTGGCATTTAAGTTCAAAAATTTAAATATCTTTCATTAACCATCCTACTCTTGAGATTATGCTAAATTTTTTTGTTTTATAGCATAAAGTGTCTTTTAAACATTAATTTGTACAATCTCAAGCAAATTTTTGTCGATAGAAAAATAGACTGTGTTTATATAAATTTATGTGTTAATTTGTAAAAATGTATAATATATAGGAACATACATAAACAAAAGCACATTTAGTGCGCAGAATATGAAAATAAACAGAAGATTGTAAACAATACCCAAAATTACATTTATTTAATATTTTCAATGTATTATTAAAGCAATAATGTAAACCAGATTATACAGTAAATATTAATTGTGTCCCAAACAAAATTGGAGTGACAATTGTTTAAAATGCACTGAGGGACTCTTAAAACTTACTTTCCCTTTTGCCTTTCTCAAGCCACCACTCGTATCACAAAGTATAAACATTCCTAAATCAAAAGCTTCTTTAGTACAATGTGGAATTTAAAAGAAAAAACTGCTAAAGTTTTAAAAGTGGTTCTTAGACACCTTATCTGGATATGTCAGTAAGTAGCTGAATGTGATGAATGTTTAGTCGCTTAGGTGGTCTGTATTAATTGATACAATTTTAAATTTATTTGTCTGATTTATTATTACATAATTACAGAGAAATGTGGTTGGCCGGAGTTTTCCTTCTGGTTTTGACAATAGTGAGCGGCTTCAGGCGCGATTCGGTACAAAGCAGGCCTTCACCTCTTCACCGAACTTCATCCTACAGCCTGCCATTTGGCTGGGGGAGCCTTCCATTGCGGAACTCTGTTGAAAAAATCCCTACATTAAGAGAAAGGTAAGTTTTCGAATTTTAAATATTTTTCCCGTCGGGTTGGATTAGATGAATTTGAAAATTTTCATTTAGATCTCAAGAGAATGCTCCTTTGAGGGAAGCTGTAGAGCATCGTCCTACACCGTACACTCGCGGCCCTTGGTGGCGCTTAGTCCCTGGAACAAGACAGTCCAGTGAGTTTTCCCCTGTTAATATCAAAATAAGTCCAGACTCTACTTTTAACTTGAATTTAATTATAGATCAGAGTGGTAAAAGGCTATTTTGCTTCATTGAATCCTGGGCTTCGTACCGAAGACCACCAGCGACTTTCACTGCTGAAAACATAGATCCTTTCGCATGCACTCATATAATCTATGCATTCGCTACAGTGGACACTCTCACATCAAAAATTTCACCACTTGACAATGAATATGACATTGTTAAAGGTAAAAATCTTATTTGTTAATAATTTACTTCTTAATTTAATGTTTTTTAAACTTTTTACGTTTTTTATCTCAACTAAAAATATATTAATTGGTCATGAAATTGGCGAATTTAGAGTTTTTTAAAAATATTTTTCAGGTGGATACAGGTCTATTGTTGGTCTTAAAAGGAGCAACCCGAACCTCAAAGTCCTTATCTCAATATCAGGAAAACTTTCCAAAATGACATCAAATGCTTCAAACCGAAGAACATTCATTTTATCGACGTTGAAGTTTATCGCTGAAAATGGTTTCGACGGAGTGGATCTTCATTGGGAATATCCTGGTATTAAAAATACTATATTTCTCCTCAAAATGGTTCTAATTTTATTTAAATGAAGGTGCTGAAGACCTAGGTGGTAAGAACAAGGATAAAGACAACCTTTCCAAATTGATTGAAGAGCTTTCAGGAGTGCTTGACTCACGTGGCTGGCTTTTGACTGCTTCCGTGTCACCATCAAGGTACATTTCAACAGTAAATTTAAAGAAATAAGTAAAAATTAAATTATTTGGTTATAGATTTAGGCTAGAAGATGGTTACGATGTGCCGGTAATTGCGCCATTTTTGCATTTCGTTCTATTAAAGAGTTTTGACTTTCATCAAGAAAGGGATGATGCGGCCAACCATCCTTCTCCGCTCATTATGTCTAAAGAAGAAGATCCACTATCTTTGTACTTTAACGTGGTAAGTTTTGTGTGGTGTTTAGTGACCGTTAATTAATGATTATTTAGATATCATGAGCTGTGGTCTGAAACATTTTCTTTATCGTGCCGTTTCAATCTTTATTGAGACACTACAATGATACATCTACACAGAAAACACACACTTTGCGCCCTGATGATGATCTCAATAAAGATCAAAATGTTGGCATGATAAAAAAAATGTTTTTCTAAACCTACATCACACCAGACTGCATCTCACGATTTCAAAATAATCAGTTGTAAGTTTTGTTTAATAGATTTATTCGTAATTTTTTTTAAACCATTGTTTAATTTTTTTTTTTTTCAAGGATTATGCTGTCAAATACTGGTTGAAGCGAGGGGTACACAGTAGTCAGCTGATTCTCGGCATACCATTTTTTGGTAGATCTTATACGCTCGAGAGCGAGAAAAAATGGTCACCAGGTTCTCCTGTGAAATCTCCAGGACTTGAAGCCAAGTAAATTCACCCTTCGTCCAGAAGTCATAATTAAAATAACAATTTCAATTTTTTAGATTCACCCAACAGCCAGGTTTTATGGCGTATTATGAAGTCTGTGTAAGGAAGAAAAACACTAGCTGGAGAAAATACAGAGAAGGATCAGGTTCTGCATACATGGTCAATAAAGATCAATGGGTCGGTTTTGAGGACAGCTATAGTATCACTCAAAAGGTAATTAATTTTTGCCCATTTTGTAATTTTGATTTATAAACAATTTTGTATTTATTTAAGATGGAATACATGAAAAGAGAAAAACTTGGAGGGGTAATGGTTTGGTCATTGGACCTGGATGACTTTCAGGGCATATGCGGACAAAAGTACCCGTTGTTGAACACCGTTAAAAAAGCTCTTGTTCCTGACATTCCTGGTATGTTTTATAAGGTGAAATAAACAAGAGGCATTTCTAACTTTGTACTTTTAGCCATGGTTTCACCTGGAGTTGGAGTGACCGTCCTTGCCTCAGCAAGCAACTGCTCAGGAGAAGGATATATTGGCGATTTAAATGATTGCTCTGTTTATTATAGGTGAGTTTATTAACAAGTTTTATTTAACAAATCTAGAGACGTGTAATTTCAGGTGTCAATGGAATATGAAGCACACATACATATGTCCTCACGGTTTGCACTATGACCCTCAACTGAACTTGTGCAACTGGCCTGTTCTTGTTTCATGCCCAGTAAGAAGTAAGTTGAACAATAATTAATAAATAATGATCATTACTAATTAATAATAATTGATTGAAATAGCTCAAGTTGTTTTGTTGTTGGAAGATGCAAAGGAAAAACAATTATCTGCGCTACCTTATGCCAGAAGTAAGTACGAATATATTTCCGTGAAATTTTAATGTATGCATTGATCAAATTTATCTTTAGATGAAGATAGAAGTTCTAGAATAGTTTGTTACTTCACAAATTGGTCTTGGTATAGAAAAGGAGAAGCTAAATTTTTCCCAGAGCATGTCGACCCAGAGCTCTGCACTCATGTAATTTACGCCTTTGCATCACTTGACCCGAATTCGTTGACAGCGGTTCCTTTTGATCCTTGGGCAGATGTGGAAAACAGTGAGATTTAAATTAATATATCACTAAATAAACAATTACTGATTTCTTCTTTATCCAGACATGTACAACAGGCTGACAATGTTAAGGGAAAAAGGAACAGAAGTGATGCTTGCAATCGGAGGATGGACGGATTCTTCTGGAGATAAGTATTCCAAGCTCGTATCATCCGGAAACAGCAGAAGGGCTTTTGTAGCTTCTGTCGTAGGACTTTTGAGACAGCACAAGTTTTCAGGGCTTAGCCTCGAGTGGAATTACCCTGTCTGTTGGCAGTCCAATTGCACAAAAGGAAAAGAAAGCGATAAGGCCAATTTTGCCAAATTAGTACAAGTGTGTAAAATTAAATAGAAAATAAAAAAATAAAAAATTACCACTATTTTTGATTCTCATTTCTGTTGTTCCAGGAACTGAGAAGCGCTTTTGACAAGCAATCTCCGAAACTTCTGCTGGCAGTGAGCCTCAGTGGTTACCTGGAGATACTCGAAAAAGGGTACGATTTACCAACCATCAGCAAAGCAGTGGACTTTATGTCAGTGATGAGTTACGATTATCACGGATCGTGGGAAAACAAAACAGGACATGTTAGCCCTCTTCGAGGGCAATCGACTGATCCTCTTCCAACTTACAACACTGTACGTTCATTGTACAAACCTTTTGTCCTTTTCAAATAAAACACATTCTTGTAGGAATCTGCTGTTAAATACATAATATCGAAAGGAGGTGACAAAAGCAAGCTGGTCATTGGCGTCCCTCTCTACGGTCAAACATTCACTCTGGTATCACCCAGTAATCATGGACTCGGAAGTCCTGCAAAAGGTCCTGGTAATGCCGGTCCTTCAACAACACAACCAGGAATGCTTGCATTCTCTGAAATTTGCTTCAAAGGTTTTATTTTTAAAAGGTTTATGAAATAGATCCAAAACTATTTTCAATAAAGATTGATTTGTTTTTACAGTAAAAAAGAATGAATTGAAGAAAGAAAGCAGCCCTTCTGGACCGTATGCTTACGATAAGGACCAGTGGGTTAGCTTTGATGATGAGGATTCTGTTTTGGAAAAAGTCAGTTGTTCTCTTACATGTCACAATCGACAGTATTTTTTTCTAATAAATGTACTTAATTAAAGGGTGCGTTTGTAAAAAAAGAAGGACTTGGAGGTCTAATGGCCTGGACTATGGATATGGATGATTTCCACAACCAATGCTGCAAAGGCCAATATCCGCTTCTACGTGCCATGAACAAGGCATTGGGCAGAAAGGTCGTTGAGGGTGTCACTGGGTGCACAAAGCCTCCGACACCTGTGACTCCACCTCCGGTATCGACCACTTTGGATCCTGAGGCTGGTAGGTCTTACTTCCCAACAATCCCATTCAATTGTTAAATTTTGATAATTTTTAAGGATTAGTGACGACAACAGAACACAATCATGGACATTTGACGACGACAACTCAGAAAACTACCACACCGCAATGGTGGGTTCCTGAAACAACCACTAGTAAGAAGCCTTCTAAAAAACCAACAACTACTACTGTAAAAACAACAACAACAAGAGCTACTACAACTACAACTAGAACTACAACAAAGGAGCCTACATCAACAACTACGACAGGTTTTATTTCATAACATCCAATGTTTTATATATAATTTTGCCTTTTTAAAGTTTTTGTTTCATCAGAAAAAGAGCCGAGTACGACAGAGGAGAGCACAACAGAATTGCCAACAACTTGTCAATCAGGCGAATATAAGCCAAATCCTGGGAACTGCAATGTTTATTACAGGTCTGAACAAAAATAATATACCTGCCAAGGATTAAAATTCTAAATAACAAATCGTTTTTTTAGGTGTATACTTGGAGAATTTAGAAAGCAGCATTGTGCCGGAGGTTTGCACTGGAATAATTTTGCTAAAGTCTGCGACTGGCCAAGTGAAGCTAAATGTTCCGCAGGTAATGTTAAATAGAAATTGTACGATATTTTAGGTTTTTATTGTAAAATTTGTCAACAGTCCTCATTGCATATAACATCCTGTTTGAAACATGTTCTGCTTGTTTTTCGATCCAAGCAAGACAGGCCCAACTGATTAGGAACAGAGCCTCAGAGGTCTTGATCAGACCTGAAAGGTGCCTTTTACAATATTAATTAATTGACCAGTTGCCCAGCTCGAGGACCATTCAAAGTGTTATCCCTGCCGGTTTGAAGCCCTTAGGCATCTATGGACCTGGAAGAAGATGTCCCAGTTTAGCAACGAACCCCACTGCATAGTTGGAGGTGAGCTGCTCCTTCGGAAATTCAGGCGGCAGCACTTCCAATTCACAACACAGGCTGGTCAAAGAGCTTATAATGAATGCATATAGACCATTCGAAGACCCTGATAGTATCGAGCCTCGGCAGGCGTGTATTTCGGGCTGAAGAAAAGGAGCATAGCAACGAGTCAAATATTTTCAGGAGGGTCTATCCACTCTCCGACCATGACCTCTGAACTTTAATAATGTTATTACTTTCCTTTACTTCACCTCGACAATGTGTGGCTGTCATCTAAGCTTTTGATTAAACATGAAGCCGAGGAACCTCACCGACTCTATGTACCCTTCTGCAGTGTCCCTCAGGCAGAGATGCAGAAGGGTAGTCCTCGTAAGTTTGCAAAACTGGATGCATATGGTTTTCGACACAAAGAAGACGAATCTGATTTCTTCGGCTCTTCCAGCCACAACGTTTATCGCTGACTGCATCACCCCTCTGACCTCCGCTAGGTCTTTCTCTAAAAGGAAAAAGCTGAGGTTGTCAATGTACAGTAATCGTCTGATTGGTCGGAGGACACCATCAGCAATACCATTCACTGCGATCAAGAAAAGTGTAACGCTTATCACTGAACCCTCAGGGACTCTATTCACTTGAACAAAGTCCCTAGGAGCACAGATCTCAATCTGACAAGGAATCTTTCATCCTCAAAAACGCCTCAATTAATTGAGTTAATTTGCCTTTAAATCTGATATCCCAACAGCCAGAGCGTGCTCTCTATTCAGAAATGTATTCTTAATTATTAATAAAACATGGAAAATGATGATAATTAACATAAATTAAATTTCTTTTTTAAATTTTAAAACAATTAAAAATTTTAATTTAAATAAACAGGATTTTCACCATTAAAATTAAAAAAAATGGAAATGTAAGAAAATATAAGGATAGATTGATGGGTAGTGAAATCAACAAAAACATATTAAACAGGAATTAATATTAATGTATTTTAAATGAAATTATGTTCAAATATAACAAAATGAATGCAGGGTCACTGGATTTGAACCCGAGTCCTTTACCTTACAGTGATGAGTGCCGTGTCAATGCCTAAACTGTTGCGGCCACCGATGCCTATTACTTGTTTATTTAGGGATAGACAGTTTTATATAAAACATGGAGTGTAGCTGAGAAGAGAGTTGGAGAGTTTTTTGACAGACTTCTTATTGAAATTTACAGTATGAATGAACTTACATGACAAAGGTGGTCACCACCGGCTGGAAGGAGTAACACACCATGGCCAGATCTGTTTTTTCTGTCAGAGTTCAATTCCTAGTTTGTGCTGGGAAAGGGGGCCCCAGTCAATGAAACAGTTTATTTTTTAAATTATGATGCTCATCTCCCAAGAGACATGACTTCTTCAGCACTATTTTTTAGGAAATAACACTCTTAGTCTCTTCTGCAAGAATGGGCTGATACCCCGGGGTCTCTACCCAAAAAGTGGGATCCTTTTTTTCAGGCATTGGGCTCGTTATCATGAAGTCTAAATCAACGCATTTTCACTATAAATTAAATTGAATTGTGACAAAGATGTATAAATTAATTATTGAATTTTTTCTTATTAGATTCAACTAATGGGAAACCAAGTGAGACACCTACAACAACAACAACTACAACTGAAAAACAATGGTCAACTCAACCTATAACCAGTACTACTACAGAATCAGGTACGTCTTCAACACAGAAAACCACTGAACATGTCTGGTCGACTTCTCCAACCACGTCCACAACCACAGAAAGTTCATGGAAGCCATCTTCTTCTAAAAAGCCATCTGTGACTACTGAACAGGTTTGAATCACACGTACTCTTGGTTAATCATTTAGAACGAGCAGTATCAATAGAATCCTATTGAATTTTAGGAAATGAGCCCGTGTGAAAATGGGAGATATTACCCAGTACCCGGTGATTGCTCGGCGTTCCATATGTGTGTCAACGGTTTATTGGTGAAACAGTCATGTGCCCCTGGTCTGAATTTCAACCCTGATTCAAATATCTGTGACTGGTCTTTTAACTTCAAATGCTCAAATACAAAAAGTACATTGTTTCTTACTATAGTATATTCAGTATTTGTTAAATATTCTATACTATTTTAGATAGCATCACACTTAAAAGTGGAGATATGGGATGTTCAAAGGGAATGTTTTCCCCTCATCCAAATAGCTGCACAAAATACCTACAATGCCTCTGGGATAAATACGAAGTCCATTCCTGTGCCCCTGGCCTTCATTGGAATCAAGTAAAAATAACTAAAGTTTCATTTCAGAAAAAGTTACATTAATTAATTTCGTGTTTATAGAAAATGAATATTTGTGACTGGCCTGCCACTGCAAAATGCAAAGGCGGAACGGACAGTGGCACCGAACCTGAGGACAAGCCGAACAAGTCGGAATCGACAACAACAATGAAGCCGTCATCATCCACTACTGAATGGACTTGGAAGCCAGACCAACAGACCGAGTGGTCCTGGACAAGTACCACTACTGAGGAACCATGGCCGGAAGTACCGTACGACCACCCTCTTTCTGGTAATAAAGACTGACGCCCTTAAACGTCTTGACTTTGGTAATTGTATTTTCTTATTTTAGGCTACTTCAAAGTTGTCTGCTATTTCACAAATTGGGCGTGGTATAGGCAAGGAAAAGGAAAGTACGTGCCGGAAGACATCGACTCTGATCTCTGCACTCATATTGTCTATGGATTTGCCGTACTCGATCATGACAAACTGGTTATAAAAGCGCACGATTCTTGGGCTGATTTTGACAACCGTGCGTATTACAAATATAATTCAAATAATTTGTAATCATGTTATTAAAAAAATTTCAGACTTTTATCAGAGGGTTGTCAGATTCAAAAGGAAGGGGGTTAAAGTCTTACTGGCCCTGGGTGGATGGAACGATTCTCAAGGTAATTTATACAGATTTTTAATAAAATTTAATAAAAATAATGATAAATTTAATTGAATAAATTTAAAGGGGATAAATACAGTAGACTGGTCAACAATCCAAATGCAAGGGCTCGTTTCATATCGCATGCTGTGCCTTTACTGCTTAAATACAAATTTGATGGTTTGGATCTTGATTGGGAATATCCGAAATGTTGGCAGGTAAGGAGAAATTTTACTTTTCACCTAGACGAAATTTAACACGGTCTTTATTTCAGACAAATTGTGACAAAGGACCAGATTCAGACAAGAAAGCATTCGGCCAGTGGGTTCTGGAAATAAAGAAAGAATTCAGCAAGCACAATCTGCTGTTGTCAGCAGCAGTTTCTCCGAGCAAGACTGTTATTGATGCAGGTAATTTTAATTTTCCATAAATTTTTTTTTAAAGCATTACTAATCGATTCATTTTAAGGTTATGATGTAAAGGCAATGGCTGAAGGATTTGACTGGATCTCTGTAATGACCTATGATTATCATGGTCAATGGGATAAAAAAACAGGCCACGTAGCACCACTCTATGAACATCCTGATGATGACTTCTATTACTTCAACGCTGTGTGTAACAAATAATTTTAATAATGACTAACTTTAGGTGAAGAATTCTAGTTTTAAGCTTATAATCATGACTTGACTAAGGAACAGATGCACCACAGAAGATGTAAAATAATAAAGCAGAAAATGATCAAATTAGCATAGTTTCCAGTATAAAACTGAATTGTTACAATACAGTAAATTTAAAACAGTACAGCAGGGATTATTGAAATTGAAAACCTAATGGTTCCTGCTCATTAATCATAATCGTAATAAAATTAAAGTAATTTATTATTTTGTAATGGCAGAACTACTCTCTCAACTACTGGATTGATGGAGGAGTACCAAGGAGGAAATTGGTCATGGGAATGCCAATGTACGGACAGAGCTTTACGCTTACCAAAGCGCAAGAACATGGCTTGAATGCTCCAGCTCCAAGACCAGGACAGGCGGGTGAATTCACAAGGGCCGCCGGTTTCCTCGCATATTACGAAGTAGGAGGTTACAAATAATTTTTATTCGACAGTCTTTTATTAATTTCTGAACTTTTAGATTTGTGATAAAGTGAAAAATCACGGTTGGACAGTTGTAAAAGATCCGGAAGGAAGGATGGGCCCGTACGCTTATCGCGATACTCAATGGGTTGGCTTCGACGATAAAGAAATGATAAAGAAAAAGGTAAAATTAAACATTAAACAAAAATAAACTGTTAAAAAAAAATTTATTTTTCGTTAGTCCGAGCTTATTCGGGAAATGGACCTTGGCGGTGGAATGATCTGGGCCTTAGATCTGGACGATTTCAGAAACACCTGTGGAGAAGGAAAACATCCACTTTTGACCACTATTGCTGAAACGTTAAAAGAGCCAAGTACATTAAAACATTTATTATTATTATTATTATTATTTAAATTTAAAAAAAAAACACTAAACTTTTCCGTTTTTAAGGAACTGGGTCAGAGAGTACAATGAAACCAAGGCCAAAACCAACTTCAAGTCCTACCACAGAACAAATGGAAAATACAAGACCTACAGAAAAACCAACAACTGAAAGTAGTAAACCAAGCAAGCCCACAATGTCAACAATGGTTAAAAATAAATTTAATTAATATGGTTTATTCACATATTCATGCAACTTTCTTTTTAGAAACCAGAAATGGAAACTTCTAAAAAGCCCCCAGAAATGGGAGTTGATTCAACAGCAAGTGAAGTAACAAAGCCATCTCTCCCAGGCCCAGATGGACAATTTAAAGTTGTATGCTATTTTACAAACTGGGCTTGGTATAGGTTTGTATTTGAACTATCATTAAATACAGATACAGTTTATATTTTAATGTTATTTTTAATAATAGACATGGAACAGCCAAATATTTACCAAGTGACATCGACTCTGAACTATGCACACATATCGTTTATGGATTTGCTGTTTTAGATGGCACTAATTTAAAGATTAAACCTCATGATTCTTGGGCCGATATCGATAGCAGTGTGTACATTTGAATTGGTTCAAATAAATTAAAACAAATACAATCATATAAGCATTTTTTTTTTTTTTTTAGAGTTCTATGAAAAAGTGACAAAGTTTAAAAAGAAAGGTCTTAAGGTGACTGTTGCCATCGGAGGCTGGAATGACTCATCAGGAGGAAAATATAGCAGGCTGGTAAATAATCCAAGCGCAAGGGCTAAATTCAATGAACACGTCGTCGAATTCATTCTCAAGTACAATTTCGACGGGTTGGACCTAGACTGGGAGTATCCCAAATGCTGGCAGGTCGATTGTAGCAAAGGGCCGGCATCAGACAAGCAAGCTTTTGCAGACTGGGTCACCGAGCTGAGAGAAGCTTTTCAACCTCATGGTCTGCTTCTCTCTGCTGCTGTATCTCCAGCGAAAACAGTCATTGATAATGGTAATAAATACACCTTTCTTATGGGCCAATGTGCAATATAAAAATTTGTTGCATAAATTCAAGATCTTTTATGTTTTATTGTAGGATATGATGTTAAAGTATTGTCAGAGAAACTTGACTGGATTGCAGTAATGGCTTACGACTACCACGGTCAGTGGGATAAAAGAACTGGTCATGTTGCACCAATGTACTTACATGATGATGATGAGGATGCAACATTTAATGCTGTATGTTTTGAAATATTTATACAGTTTTCAGTAAGTAACTATTTTCCATTTTCAATAGAATTTCTCAATGTTCTACTGGATGAACCAAGGAGCTGACCCGAAAAAACTCATCATGGGAATGCCCATGTATGGACAGAGTTTTTCCCTGGCAGACAGCAGTAAGAATGGATTAAATTCACCAACTTACGGAGGAGGCAAAGCAGGAGAAGGAACAAAAGCTAGGGGTTTCTTATCTTATTACGAGGTAATTTTTTTTTTTTTTAATTCACTATAATATTATTTCAAATTTGCAAAATTTTCAGATTTGCGATAGAGTACAGAAAAAGGGTTGGCAGCTTGTTAAGGATGAGTCAGGTGCTATGGGTCCGTACGCCATGAATGGTGACCAGTGGGTGAGCTTTGACGATGGACCGAGCATCAAGCACAAGGCGGAATTTGTAAAACGAAACAACTTTGGGGGTGCAATGATCTGGGCGCTGGACCTCGATGACTTCCGCAATACTTGTGGCTGTGAAGAGTACCCGCTACTCAGGACTATCAACAGAGTCCTACGAGGCTACAAAGGCGATAAACTCTGCACGTTACAAAAGGATTTCTCTACTACTTCACAGTCAGATACCCAGGATGAATTCAGAGGCGAGGAAATTAACACTTGCCCTGATATCACAGGGGACAAAACAGACTGTACCAAATTTTACACATGTCAATACGGCGTTCTTGTCCAACAGAAATGCCCTCCTAACTTACACTTCAGCAAGGTAAGTTTGATTAAAGTTAAAACAAAATTTAAACGTTTGTTCTAATAAAAACTGTTTTAGACCAATCTTATCTGCGATTGGCCTGAGAATGCAGGCTGTTCGGTAAACGAGGAGGAAATTCCGGATGGAAATGAGAGCAAAAAAGAGACTGTTCTGACCCCAAACGAACCAGAAGAATCCACAGAAGAGTCACACTCTGTTGAATCAGGATACAAAGTGGTCTGTTACTTTACAAACTGGGCTTGGTACAGGCAGGGGGCTGGACAGTACACGCCTAAAGACATAGACACTACCCTCTGCACACATATAGTATACGCTTTCGCCGTTTTAGACCCTCATACTCTTGAAATCAAACCCCACGATTCTTGGACAGACATCAACAGCGGTAACTAAAGCCATAAATTAATATATTGTACAAATTTAACACATTAGTTTTTTATTTTTGTCAATAAATTCAAACAGGAATCACCTTCTTTTTACAGAATTTTACACTAAAGTTTCATCTCTAGCAAAGAAAGGACTTAAAGTTCTGCTTGGGCTTGGTGGCTGGAACGATTCACTCGAGGATAAATACAGTCGATTAGTGAATAGCAAATCGGCTAGGGACAACTTTGTCAACAAAGTTGTCAAATTTATCGAAAAGTACAACTTCCAGGGTCTGGATCTTGATTGGGAATACCCTAAATGCTGGCAGGTAATTCACACCGTCTTAATATAAAATTTTCAATTTTAAGATTATTCGATATTTTTAGGTCGATTGCAACAAAGGGCCTGAATCGGACAAAGAAGGGTTTTCTAATTTAGTAAAGGAACTCAGTTCTGTTTTCAAACTGAAAGGCTGGCTCCTTTCTGCAGCAGTTTCCCCGAGCAAGACGGTCATTAGCCAAGCTTACGATGTGCCGGTGTTGGGTCAATATTTGGACTGGATTTCACTCATGGCCTATGATTATCATGGACACTGGGACAATAAAACAGGCCATGTCGCGCCCTTGTATTACACAGAAACAGATGAATATTACTATTTTAACACCGTAAGAGAAACATTGCAATATATTTATCGATTATATCCTAATATGTTGATTTTTATTTAAAGAATTATTCAGTTAACTATTGGATTGAACATGGTACTCCAAAAGAGAAGCTTGTCTTAGGAATGCCGCTCTATGGTCAAAGTTTCACACTGTGTAATTCATCAGATACATCTCTGAACGCTCCGATTTCAGGCCCTGGCCGTCAAGGGCAGTTCACAAGGGCTGCAGGATTTCTCGCTTTCTACGAAGTAACTAATTTAAATATATAAAAAAAATTCTGATTTTTATACGGTTGCTTTTTTCCTCAGATTTGTGACTTGGTAAGTAGTGAAAACTGGGAAGTGGTGAGGAATAAAGATGGAGCGATGGGTCCGATCGCTTTCAAAGGGAACCAATGGGTCAGCTACGATGATGTCGAAGATATAAGAAGAAAAGTATGTAATAATCGCTAAACATATTTCCCAATATATTAATTTCTCGATTTTTCTTCTAGTCAAAGTTTATCAAAGAAAATGGTCTTGGAGGCGGTATGGTCTGGGCACTCGACTTGGACGACTTCAGGAACACCTGCAACTGCGGAACACACCCACTACTCTCGACAATCAACACCGAGCTCAGAAACAGAAAGGGCAGGTTCAATAACTGTACATGAACATTAAATTTATAAATTTGCCGTGCCATAATTTGATTTTTGTTATAACTTTTGTTTAAATGAAAAATATGTTTTCCTTAATTACGTTTTAGGGTATGTGCTTATAATAAATTACAAGATAGACTGAATTTTTGATAGTTTGTTTAGAATTATTTTTTTTCAATTGAAATAAGAGTGCCTATTATGTAATGATAACTTTAAAGGATTAACAAAAAACAAAAAAAAAATATCTAAATCAGTCATTTTTTATTTTGTGCTTTATACTCAATTTCCTACACATTTTTTTAAATACAAAAATCTCCCAATATAATTATATGTATATTTTTTTACTTAAACAAAAAAAAGGGCTAAATATTAAGTTTTGGTCAGGGAATCGCACAAAAAAATTATAATAACATACTTGTGATTGATTTAATTCAAATAATGAAAAACAATAAAAATAAAACAATTGACAAAGTAATTAATAAACACCAATTTTACTTCATGCACTTATTCATTTCATGCCATATGTTGTGATTAGAGATTTAACTTTCTCGACATAAGACAATTTCGCATCGTTCTGATCTGTGCCTTTTTTTTTATTCCAGGCTTCCCATTTAGCTTTGCCCTTGAAATCAAACATACCAGGCTTGTCTGTAACAAAACAAACAATTGACACTTAATTGGTAACAAATATTTAAAAAAAAGAAGGACTTTTTCCAAATAAAACAAGATAAGATAATGTTAGCATTCAATCATGAAGATTATCTATAAAATATTACTTATACATTTACCGGTGTTTATATCCCCAACAGTCGCCTGCTTGTATAAGGCGTACACTTCGAGAAGGTCTTCATCCTTCGGTGAATTTTCAAGATTCTTGACGTCTTCGACGGCTTTGTTAAAATCCTAGAATGTCATAGAAAGGGATAAGCAATCAACCTGAATGGAGGAAATTGATGACGAAAAGTCAACTTCGTTGCCAGGGGAAAAATAAAGATTGTGCAATGTTTTATCAATTCAAAGTTAGATATTAAAAAGTAATCTAATCTGGATTATCCATTTTTTATAATAAAGAAAATGATCGATGTGTTTAAGTGGAACAAAAAACAAAAATCAAAAAATTTTGATAAAATATAATTCGAATGTGCAGGAAAACATGAAACAAATTTAAAAAAGCTTTAGTTTGAAATTAACTTGCAAATATTAGATTTATTTGTAGCATAATCATCCTGGTCATACTCACTGATTAGTCCGTGTTATATTATTATTATAAACCTTACAAGGAATAAAAATTGTTAATGAGAGGAAAAAAATTAGAAAAATGCTTGACTCTGACAATTACATTTTGCCATCTTCAATACAAATAAGTTTTTTAAAATAGCACAAAACCGTAATGAAGATGAAGATAAAAGAGATATTTAATAAAATTTTGACAGTCAACAATTTGGAATCTAAGTGTTCAAAAGCCCAAATGGAAGAAGATATATGTAACTGATTAAAAAAATGAACATAATGACGAAAATAATCTTGGAATGTATGGACAAAATTGAGAATTTTGAATACAAAGTTTAAAAATTGAATCTTAAAAGAATAAAAATTGTTAATGCAAGTAAAAATAAATTACAGAAAAATGCTAGAAGTGTATCTGTCAAATACAAATTGTTAATGCAAGGACAAATAAATCATAGAAAAATTCTTGAAATTTGGTAGAAAAAAATATCGACATACATTGAAATGTAATCACGGATTAAAATCAATTAATTCTATGACCTCTGCATAAGGTCACGTTTCCTTTTTATTCTTTTTTTTTTAGCTATTATTAACAATAAAAATCAATAAGAATTTTTTTTATTGTTTGAGAGACCTTGAGTTGTGAAGTAAACAATTTAACACTATTGTTTTGGATGTTTTTAATGATTTAGCCTAGGATTTCAGACTGCAGGTATTTTCCTGTGAGGGCCAATTTTGAAAATCATAAATAAACCAATGAATTTTTAAACTTTGATCATTCCTGGCGTGACAGATCTGGTCTTACAATTAAAAGGGCCTGAATAAAATATCAACTTTGACGAGCTATGGCATTTTCTGAATGTTTTCAAACGATTTGTACACATGAGAGGGTAAATTTATACTCACTTCGTCCAAACCCATTTCTTCTTTTGTTAAACGACTTGAAAACAAGGCAGAGATAATTGAAGAGCAGCGATTAAACCATTACTTTCAGTGATAAAATAAGGCAATCATCTGTCGAGTGAGTAGTGATGACCGAACTTCAGCGGGCCGAGTGGTGGGAGTGGACGATGACCCCCTCCATCACTGCCAGCTTAGGGACTGACGAACATGTCCATCAACAAATTTTCATTATTTTTAATTTATTAAACAATTCCAGGCGACTACAATATTATAAATAATTCAAATTTAAACTCTCCTTAATTATCAAACATATTTCCTTCCTTTGAAAATAGTTACATAACACAAAAAACCACATAGAGGCAATGCAGATTGGCGTTCAGTCTCAACATTTAAATTTTAAATTTAAGCAAATACAGTGGAAATGTAACAATGTATCATTGCTTACAGATCTTACGACGAAAATTACTAGAAAATTGGATTGATTTAGAATAACAAATAAAAAACACAGTATTGCTTTAAATTTTCATGTTATTCAGGATTGATGGAACATTTGGACTCATATTTGGTATTCTTTAGAAAAAAAACTATTATAACAAAATTTTTAGTATACTTATGACAAAAATGATCTAACAATAACAATAGGTCTATACTGCCCTGCTAAGAAGAAAGGCCGTATCTACTGTTTTGATAGTTTTGAGAAATTGACCTTTGCAGTTTTTCATGCTACATGGCCTCAGTTAAATTGCCATATTTTTTAAAGTTTTTGGCCTAGAAAACTTCACTTTTTTTTATAATCCTGGAAGCTTTTTTATTACTATTTATAAATTGTTTATCGATTCTCTTTTATTTTATGTATTTTTTTAATCAAAAAAAGTTGTTACATTAAATTTAACTAGCAAAGATTTGTGATAATTACATACAAACAATAATGTATCTGGAAAAAAAAGGTTTTTTAGAAACATTTTTTAAAATTATAATTTCTATTATTGCAATAGTAAGTAAATCAGTCCATAATGAATCACATATTTAAATTATTACCGCTGAAATTCCATTTCCTTTGTGCAATAATCATTAATTTATACATTTTATGCAGCAAAGAAATATAATTTAAATAGTATATGCATTAATTTTATCTTGTTATACAAACACTTTTTATTAAGATATGGTAAAATTCTGGAAATATGGTTTTTTGACTAGTATTCAAGATACAAAACGTTTTAGTCTAGATTGGGAGCGATACAATAGTTGCATTTTTGGAATGCTTTTTAAAGTATGGATTTCCTAATTAAATGTGTAGATCTTTTCACTAATCCACATAACGCTACTCGATATAGCACCAAGCCTGTGGGTCCTCTGTTCCATTTTTAGAGGAAATAGGTACTTTTAAATTTACTTTTTTTTACTGGCTTTACGCATTAGCCACCGGACCTTAAAGCTTGTATCCTTGTATAAAATAATATGTGGAGGGATGCCATTTAGGGGGTACCAAGAGGGCCAACACAGGGACGCAGCCAACCAGCCAGGCGGATCAACAGGTAGGGGTGATTGGGGGGGGAGTTTGTCTTAGAGGAAATGTGGATAAAAATCACTAAAATCAAAATACTGTGGAAAAGTCCACATCTCCCAAGCCCCCATTAGTTGACAGATATCTCCTTTTGTGTTGTTGAGAGTGAATGTATTTATTAGAGTGAATGGATGAGAGGGTCGAAGGTGGAATATTGAGTACCCCATTGACTCTAATTATTTATAGATTAGTTACACAGCAAGTAATATCGAATACTTCACCACCTCTACTTAAATGAATGTTACATGTTGGAAAGAATAAATGAGAGCTGAGTGTGCCAAAGTTTAAAAACTGCATACTCAACGACTGTTGACAATAAAACCACCAAAAGTGGATAATTTTTGAGACTTGAAACCATAAGCTCAACTTTGTATATATGTGCTTATATTTTATCCTTGTATATGAGCAGAATTGAGCTTATATAATTCAGCCAATCAACAATGGAATTAATTCTATAAAAAATGGCGGATGACTAAGAAAATTCAAATTACAAATAACTAATTTGAAATTAGCAATTGAAAAAATAAAATTGGATAATGTCATACTAAATTTTGAAATTTGCCATGATAATATATATTAAATAACAATATATCAATTTAAAAAAATCAGTTTTCATATAAATAAATTATATAATCACTTTTTCCTTTTTCTGGATAACAGATTTTCCTAGCTTAAAGTACCAAAAAAGTAGTTTTTATTATTTTTTTTTATTCTTATTTTAATACTGTTTTTACATACATTTTAAATTTATATTTTGTTGCTTGATTCCCAGCTCGTTGAGGCATTGTGCCTTCGTTGTTGGTGTTGCAAAGATTGGCCCAAGAATACAAATTGCTTGTTGCTTATAAATTGCTATTAAATATCTTTTTTTATAAACATTGGTATTTTTGGACTGTTGTCTGCCTATTTTTCTCACCTTAGTGCACATAATTAATAGGCAGAATCAGGGATCGCGGTAGGGAATTGGTTAGGGTGTCCGACTCCTATTTGCCAATTCCAAGAATCCCAGCACAGCCCATGGAATTTTAATTGGATATAATATGCAAAAGGTATAGTAAAATGGTTTGACACCTCGTCCGCATCACCCGAGTCGTTAGACATTAAGCCCTCCTGTATCAAAAAATTTCTTTATTTTTTAATAGACATTAAAGTTTGTTAGTGTTATTACTGTCAAAATCAGCCTTTTCAGCAGCATTCTTCTGGTTTAATAAAAATTTATGTACATATAATAAATAATGTACATATTTATCTGACATAAAACATGTTATGTAAAAAAATATTGAAAATCTGAATATCAAGTTTAGTAATAAAAATATGTAGTTTGATTTTTATTTGCCTATCCTTACTTTTTTGGTCTATCAAACTTGTCTTTGACTTCAGACCATTTTCAATGCTACTTAGACCCAAACTACAGAATATCACACCACATACCACAAAGGGATGTCTCACAATTTAAAACAAATATGGTTAAATAAACCAGTGGATGGATAAAAAAAAATACAGTCATGGTGAGATTTCTCTATGTGATCTGCTAGTTTGGTCATTAATGATCCTGGTCTGCCTATCCTCACTATGTGGGCACAGACTCAAACCGAATATGGCGAAATGCCGAAACATGTCTGACAGATCAACCGGGATGATTGGTAATGATGAAATTACACATTTTTATATCAGTCGCACTTTTGTCAATTTTCATCTGTCTGGGAGTTGGTAATGAAGAATTTCAATTGCAGATTATTTTCCCAATTTGAATTAATATGATCAATCAAAGTCAAGTTTGTGTAGTTCTGAAGATATTCAAAAGTTATTAAAAATTCATCAATCAAAATTATTATTTCATCCATTTGTATTGCCTAGTGTTCGTCACCTTTACATTTTTGTGATTTCAACTTATATGCACTATTTTAATGAATAGTCGGTAAAAAATGATGAACTATTTTAATTTAAGAAAACAAATTTAATAGCCTTTCTTTTCAAAGGATTACCATTTATACAAAATAAAATAAAATACAACAATTATAAATTTTTGTTATTTAAGTGTAGAAATAGGAACTTATGCGTAGCAGGAAATGAGATATTCGACAAATTTGATGTATTCTTTCATGGCGTCCTCCTTGCTCGTTCCTTTCTTTTTATTCCAGGCTTCCCATTTGTACTTTCCTTTCACATCCATCATGCCCGGCTTAGCTGGAAAAAAAAAATACAAAAAAAGCTTGAAATATGTGGATATACTTTGGAAATTTTCCGTTCAACCTGTTTACTGAGACACTGTAAGTCTGTCGGATAATGCGGGCCTTGATGAAGGAAAATTACACCAATCAGAATATAAAAAAATTGCCTCGACAAGTTTTTTGTTCCTAAGCGGTCACCTATTTATATAAATTTGCCCATTGCGTAACTTTTAAATTCAAAATGAAATAAGAAGATCGAAATCAAACGCATTTGTGGATCAACTTTGACTTTTACCAACCCGATTCTCAAGGACTGCCCAGTTCGCATTTCCACTAGGTGCCGGGACCAGAAGGACGACCAACTTTCTGAGTTAAATTATGAAATCTAATTGGAAATTTTTTTATCTTCGACTTGAGAGTTGTTTATTGCGGTAACCCAAGATTAAAAAAAAAAATCTCAGATCACCTGTGCACACAACGCGAGTTTGAAACGCATTACTTATTTGCAGAATCTTCTCTACTCGTTCCCACTTTTGTTGGTTGAAACATTTTTTTTTCCGTTAATGTGTGATAAGTCAATAACAGAACTGTTGACATTTACAGTCAAATGTCATCTCTGTTCCGCGTAGAATCCTGATGTCTTTTATATATTTACATATTGCATAATGCAATAGCAAGTATTAAAGACGAAGTGTCATGAAGTCCGGCCTTATATCAGCGTTATTTGATCACATAAATATTTCCATCAGTAATTGTCCTGTTTAAGTAAAACCCAAAAGTCGAGTTGAAAAAAAAAATTCATTTTCGATAGTGGTATCGAACGTAGTTTTCTCACCAGTTCTGTTAGTCTTATGCTTCATTGAACATGTGTGAATCTTGTCTGTCCATTTTGTTAATAAGTAATGTAAATTGTGCTAATTAGTCTTTTTTTTATCGTCTGTTCGTTTCTTACCCATGACTCCCAACTAATTGGTAGCAGAGCGTGGTTGAGCTCAGATTCGTGGTGCGTCGAACATTCGGGTAGTCACGTGATCGTCGAATTGTCGGTCCGTCAATTATAGTTTGTTCTTCGTTTGTAACGGGACAAGAAGAAAACATTAGAATCCATGGTGAGTAAAGAAATTACTCCTCGTGGCCAGTTAAGTTGGAAGCATTCTTAGACACGATCGGTCTGTTTGATGAAGAACCCCAGTCTAATGGCTTGAATGAAGAACAGCGCTAAGATTCACGACCAATAGATAAGGAAAAATAAAAGAGCTTACATCTACCTCATTTTAACCTTAACGGCTGACCAAGTAAATGCATTTAAAAGAACGAAGGATGCCGAGACATTGTGGAAGAACACAGAAGAAAAAGGGATCGATATATTGATGGAGTTGACAAAGATAAAAATGAAAATGGAATATCGACGAGCGTTTAACGCGGAGACCGAGAATTTATAAGTTGTCAGAGGTTTATCAGATATTTATGAATTAAATTATAACACCTCTAATAACAAAACCGCCGGATTGGGGCAATTTCTGATGTCGTTCGAAAAGAGAAGCAGAAAGGACCAACCGGTAAACGCATACAAGACGGTTATGAAAAGAATAGAAAAAACGCTTTTTACGCAAGACACTTCGTCACATCCAAAAGGATTGCTGGTTTAGACATAAGGACGATTCTGGTAGAAATCGACAGCTTCAACAAATAAAATACAACAAAACCACCATAAAAAAATTCGTCGGAGGGAAAAAGCGAATACCGTAACATGCACTGATATCCATTTTAAAGGAATGACTTTACTTCGTCCGCGTGACTTAGAATCCCTTGATGGAAAGCATCCTCGACGAAATAAAAGAAATAAACGTGGCTGAAGAATGAAGACACATCATGTCCCAGTGGCCTCTGGGACAATGGGGAGAGGCCGTAAAAACACCAGCTTATCGTGCCACAGAGGAAATTGCCAGATGCGACACCAAAAGAACTATAGAAGAAGTGACAGTGGCAAAAAACTGACAGCAAAACATTTGGAAATTTTAGGATGTTCTATTTATTACAAAAGGTCAGGTACAAACAGGTCCAAACTGGAACCGAAAGCGAAGAAGCTATTCCACCGAATAACATATTGCATAATATATGACACAGAAAATCAAGAAATGATTGAAACTTCAGATTTACAGTTTGATGAAGAAAAAATATGGTACAAAGCAGATTCAGAAAACACTAAAAGTAACTAATTATTCAGAAATCGTGAGATGCGGCCTGGTGTAGGTTTCAGAAAAACATTTTCTTTATCGTGCCAACGTTTCGATCTTTATTGAGATCATCTTCAGGGCTCAAAGTGTTTGTCTTCTGTGTAATTGGCACACTCAACACGACACGCAAGAATGGCACAATTACACAGAAGATAAACACTTTGAGCCCTGAAGATGATCTCAATAAAGATCGAAACGTTGGCACGATAGAGAAAATATTTTTCTGAAACCTACATCACACCAGGCCGCATCTCATGATTTCTGGAATAATTATCGATAACGGTCACTAATACCACACACACTAAAAGTAACGATACTTACTTCGACTTATTGCAAGAAAATAAAGGATTCAGAATAAATGATTCTAATAACCAGAACTGGACATCAACAGAAGAGGAAATAAATGAAGAAGGAACGAGGAGAAGAAATCTAGATAGCAGGGATGGGATCTAGGTGCATCAAATGAACCACATACAGATGACCAGCAACCTCATTCAAGGCCAAGAGGACCACTGGTATGGTAAAAAGACCTGTTGCGGTCTACTGTGAAAGTTTCGAAAAATGAAGAGTCGAAGAATTGGGAAAAAGCGATGCTTGAAGATGCAATGAAAGTCTGGCAAGAAGTACCAAGACGAGTCGGATAAAAGACAATAAAAAACCGACACGACACGCAAGAATGACACAATTACACAGAAGACAAACACTTTGAGTGAGTAGAAAACTTTGATTGAATATATAAAATATATTTTGCATTGTATAAATTCTCTTTTCCACATCCAAATTGTAATTGTAATATGTAAACAATGTTTGTAAATCCCAGGCCCTGAAGATGATCTCAATGAAGATCGAAACGTTGGCACGATAAAGAAAATGTTTTTCTGAAACCTATATCACACCAGACCGCATCTCACGATTTTTAAATAAATACTATGACAGTTGCATTTAAAAGCCAACAGAACAAACATTACCTGAGCTCAACTTTTGACAGTATACATGGAAATACACCCTGGATTTGATAAAGGTAAAAACATAAAGTTTTGATAATGGAAAAAAATACATGGCGTACCACAATTAGGGAGGTGCTGGTATGTAAAACAAAACCAAATTTTGTAAAAATGGAGAAAAAACTTGAAATCTGTCTCATGTATTTTCATCAAAAGAGAATCAACTTAATTATAATAATTGACGTTTATGTGGATGATTTCATAGTGCTAGGAAGGACAGATGCAATTATAAACAAATATATGTCAATGTTGGAGACTCAACTGAGATCATTTAAAAGCCAACTCATTTTTGGGAATTGCAATAGCAAAACATGACTTTGATCAACTTTGATAGAGAAAACAAATATAGAAGAACTGCTTAAGGACTATCAAATGTCAGAATGCAACAAAGCCAAAACAGCTCAAGGTTGAACCGTTACCAAGAAGTCATTGGATCGTTAATGTTCTTCAGTAGAGTAACATGTTTTGACATATCGTATGCAGTTGGTCTCTAACAGTATAACATAGATTCGAGAGAGATTCATTGAACTGCGGTGAAGCATTATTCAGGTACCTACAAGGAACAAAGGATTTATCCTTAAAATGATTCAGCTCCATCAGCGTATACTGATGCAAGCTGGTATACAACTAAAGACTAACTCCTATGGAGGGTTCATAACATTGGAAGGACCTTAGACAACTAGAAAAGCAACAAGCAGACTCTCGACCCTTACGATGGAATCTGAGCTCAGCGCTATGCGGAGTTCAGGAGGTGATGTGCAATAAATCATTGAGGAGGTCGATGGCGTTTAAATGTCTACAGAACGAGAAACAAAGCAGAAGAAGAAAACACATAAACCGCAAATTTCACTTTGTAAGAAATGAGGAGCATCGTGGAACCATCCACCAAGATGGTTGCCTTTTCATTACAACCTCATTTTCATCAGGTTGAAACAAGCACGGCCAGCAGATGTGATGACAAAGTCAATGAACGGTTAACGAGGAAACATTATAGAATCATTTTCTTAATTAAATAAATAAATAACGATGCATATATTAAATAATAAAATGAAAGGAGGGAAAACGTTGGAAAAAAATCATTTTTGTGGTATCGAACATTTCCCACCAGTTGAGTAAGTTTATGCTTCAGTAGAACATCTTGTATGTCCCTTTTGTTATTAGACTAATGTAAATCAAACTAGTAATTTTTTTTATCGTCTGTGCTATTTAGACTCACCCCTGTACCGCAAATAAAATAATCTAACTATAACATTAAAGTTAAAAAATTGAAGTTAAATTTGTTTCTGTCTTCACGTGCTCAGTTCTCTTGTTCAACTTACTGTGCCTTCTTCGTCTATTTTCTCATAAATTTGAAATGGAAATATATCATTAATGTTTACTTTCCAACACAATTCCAAATACGATACAATATATTTTTTCTCTTTTTCCAAATAAATATGTTGTTGTTGATGAAGAGGGTCCAATTTTTAAAAGAGTATTTATTTCCGTTTGCTGTGTTATTTTTCCGTTGAACGTTTGAATACGACGTCGGCGTCTATTAGCGAATTGACTGGTGGCGAGGTTTAGAAAGTAGATTCGGCGTTTGTTTACATTTCCGCGGTGAAAGTTATACGTATATGTACCATAATATTAAACAACAATTTTATACAATTAGTTCACTTTGGAATTTATTAGAAAAAAATGTATAAAGATGTTAAAGAACAAGAATTTTATACTTAAAGAAATCATAAGGCTAAAATTAATCGAGTTTTGAGTCATAACCTTAGTCTGCAATGCAAGGCTTCTTACAGCTTTCAAGTCTCCTTAGCTAAGTAAAAAAAACATTATGCAAGAATTCATCCAGTTTCATGTTATAAGCTAAGTCAAAAAATTCTAAATGCTAGAATTCATTCAGTTTGATGTCATTAGCATAGTCAAAAATATTTCTTAATGCTGCTCATTCGTACAGGTTTTAAGTCATCAGCTAAGTAAAAGAAAATCGAAAGGCTTAAATTATTCCTATGTTAACAGGTAGGTCAAAAAATTCTAAATGTTAGAATTCATCCAGTTTCATGTTACTGTAGCATCTTATTGCTACTATTCGTATACGTTTTAAGTCATCAGCTAAGTAAAAAATCGTAAGGCTTGAATTATTCCAGTTTTATGTTAATAGGTAAGTAAAAAATTCTAAATGTTAGAATTCATCCAGTTTCATGTTGCTAGATAAGTCAAAACATCTTATTGCTAGTATTCGTATAGATTTTAAGTCAATCAGCTAAGTAAAAAAAATCGTAAGGCTTAAATTATTCCAGTATTTTGTTAATAGGTAATTCCAAAAAGTCTAAATGCTAGAATTCATTCAGTTTGATGTCATTAGCATAGTCAAAAATACTCCTTAATACTAGAATTCATTCAGTTTGATGTCATTAGCATAGTCAAAAATACTCCTTAATACTAGAATTCATTCAGTTTGATGTCATTTGCTAAGTCGAAAATATACTTAATACTTGAATTCATTTAGTTTCATGTTATTAGCTAAGTCACAAAATTGTAAATGCTAGAATTTATTCAGTTTGATGTCATTAGCATAGTCAAAAATATACATCCAGTTTCATGTTATTAGCTAAATCAAAAAATTGTAAATGTTAGAATTTATTCAGTTTGATGTCATTAGCATAGTCAAAAATATACTTAATACTAGAATTCATCCCGTTTCATGTCATTTGCTAAGCCAAAAATATTTTTAATTAACCTTTTTATGTAAGGTTTTGGTTGAAATGAAAAAGATTAATTAATTGAAAGAAGTAATTTGGTCAATAGACCACTAAATATAATATTAAATATTCTTAATGCTAGAATTATAACATATTTCAATTTATTGGCTAAGAAAAAAATAAATCTTAATGATATAGTTCATTCAGTTTGATATCATTAGCTAAGTAAAAAAAATCTTAAGGCTAGAGTTATTTCCAGTTATTAGGTAAGGCAAAAAATTCTTAAGCCATTAATTCTTCTAGTTTTACGCAATTCTTTAAGTAAAAAATTCCTACAACTGTAATATTTCCAGTTTCAAGAAGCACCAGTCTACGGACCTGGGATAACCGATTTTAGTGAAACTTTTTTTTTATGATACTCGATTGAAAATATCCTTCAAAAATATATGCCATTATCTTAGTAAAAAATGATGGAGGCTGGAATTCTTCAGGTTTCAAGTCAAGTCCCCAGCTAAGTCAAAAATTCTAAGTGCTAGAATTCAACCAATTTCTTGTCATTAGTTAAGTAAAAAATATTTTATTGCTACAGATCATCCAGTTTCATTAAGTCAAAAAAATCTTGAGGCTGGAATTCTTACAGATTTTAAGTCCCTTGCTAAGTCAAAGAATTCTTAACTAGAATTCATCCAATCTCATGTCATTAACTTAGTCAAAAAAATTATTAATACTCGAACTCATCCAATTTCATGCCATCAGCTCGGTCAAAAAAACATCTTCAGGTTGGAATTCATCCAGGTTCACGCCATTACAATAGTAAAAAAAATTCTTCAGCCTAGAATTCATCCAGTTTCAAGTCATTTGCTAAGTAAAAAAATATTCTTAATGCTAGAATTGTTACAGAAAATTATATTTAAAAAAACAAAAATTGTAAATCATTTCAAGTATTTTTTTCTCCGCTACTCGTCCTTAGGCAAGAAGCTTGGACACGAGTCTAATATTATTCGACTTAGTATTACCAAAAAAAGTTCCATTCAAATTTGGTGGTTAGAAACATGGTTAGAATTCTTGTCTAATTTTTTTTCAATTACACAAGTTTATCTAATTGTAAAATTTTTCAGTCTATTCTCCAAATTCGAAAACAAATCCTAAAGCTACAATTTTTCCAGTTTAACGTCATTGTCTAAGTATGTCCTTGTTCTTTGGTTAATTTCGTTCGCGTTTGTCGTCTGACCAAACTGATATTGAAGTTTCTTTGAAATTTTTTGTCAACTACTCACAAGTGTTGTTATCGCCGATGGCGGCCTGTTTGTAGAGTGCGTAAAGCTGAAGAAGTTCCTCGTTTGTCGGCCTTTTTGTCAAGGCTGTTTTCACCCTCTCCGCGCATTCGTTGAAACTCTGAAAAGCAAGGTCCATGAGGTCTCAGGAAATACGGCATTACCCGGATTTTTAAAAGAATTGACCAATTTGGAAAACCCCCATAGTTTCCAGTCATTATTCAAATTAATAATGGCGATTTTGTGTAATGCAAAAGGTATGTTACTTCATAAAGAAATTAAGCCCCCCTCGCCTGTCACTAAATCGCAGGCACAAACTTAGTCTAACTACTATAATATTTATTGATTTTAAATCGATACAGACAATTGGCTAAATGTGTACACGATTTCGGGAGGGAGTGAAAGCCACAAGTCGTGTCGGTAATTAGTCAGAATATTAATTAAAATAGTCACGCCATTACCTCGAATTAAAAGTTAACAATAGAAATTGAACGCTCGTTAGCATTTTAAATTCAAACCCGGGTCACAAACATTTCATTAGGAAAATTATTGGCTGCCATTTATCCATGGGGATCAATGAGGAGCCATAAAGTTCCCACTATTTAAAATGTAACAAAAATAAGCCTGATCTATCCCTTGAAAATATATAATTACATTTTTCTGACGGAAAAGTTTCCGCGTGTGAATGCCCGCTGTCGGGTCTTCAATCCTTGTTTCTTCAGAGCGCCTTTCTCAAAAATTAAAACGACCACGAATCAACAACTTTCGAGATTTCTCCCAGTGAGCGGTAAACGAACCGTAGAACATCCGGAGTTATGTTGAAGATCTCACTCCTTACATTAATGAGGGAAAGATGAAACAAAAAGAACGATTTAAAGACACCGACCGAAACGGCAAACAGCGAGAATACGCGGACAGGAAATGAAATCTCGATGTTGCCTGTAGACCGCGTAGCATGAACTTGCACCATCAGAACCTATTTAGATAATTAAAACAATCTAGTCTGTTTTTATTCGTGTTCTTTAATTGCTTTTGTCCACAACCTTGTATAACATAAATTAAACCTATTTTAAAGAAAGACATGCTTTATCACGTCTTTCTCTTGTTGGTTGATGACTAAAAAACATAAATTTAGAACATTAACCGAATGTTACACTTATTTAAGATTTAATTGTATAATTGCGTCCAGTTTACGTTATTCAAAATAAAAAAATGCTGAATCCTTTGACAAATGTTAATAAATTTTTGAAAAATGCGATTTGTTTTCATCTGGTGTGTATATTCTCGCTGTTTTTCCGATCTGTAATAGAAACTGCATGGGATTTTATGTTTTTCATTTCGTCTTTCGTCTGAAAACTTTTGTACGTCCGGTCTTCAGCCACTGCCTCTTCCCTAGAATTACTTATAATCATTTGTAACGGCATTCCGCGGTCGTGAATCGTAGATCGAACCCGTATTTTGAGAGATTACACTGCTGGAATGTTTTAATCGCGACTGGGCGGTTTCCTACAGCCATCCTGACGAAGAAGGTATTAGAAGAATTATTTTGTGAATTTACAAGAAAAGGAAGAGGGACGTCTTCGAATGTGGCTCTCGTTTGGTTTACGTGCCCTGTAAACTTCATAGCCTATTTTAAAAAGATGACAAACAACTCCGTTCCATGGCGTCCTTTCCATAGTGAAAGCCTTGCATTTATTTCCATGCCAAATTCAAAAGCGAAAAGCCAAGAGACAGCTTGCCAAAAAAAAAAAAAAAAATCCAGTAGAAACTGCAGAGATGATACAATACCGGATTTTGATCAATAAACGATTTGATTCATCATCATTCATCATTTCAATCATCATGTCTCGAAATCGCATAGTCATGTTTCACTACGAAATAACTCATTATAATTGTTTCGAAACTTAAAAATTATTATGCGCCACGTCCGTTGAACGTATGAAGAATTCTGACTTGACTGATTCATATATTTATTTTGTTTTTAACCAATTTTAAGTCAATAAAATCATACAATTTGTATCTTTAAAGAAAAAGTATATCAACAACAAATTGCTTTGTAGTAAACAAACAAAACAGCATACATTTCTGTAAAAAAAATAAAAATAAAAATCACAAATTGCAAGCTTTTTTGACTAGTAAGTAGTCTTTTTCCCTTAACTACGAGTACATCTAAGAAAACCAGGTAAACACAAACAGTTGTAAAATTGATTTGTTTCTATGTGAAAGAACACAAAAATAAAAGAAGAAAAGATACGAAATAATAAAAAAAAATAAACAAAGAGAAAGATATCATACCATTATGTCATTAATAATTGCATTCTTAAATTAAGAACATTGTTTGAACTAAGGGCTTCATTTAAAAACTACACGATTCCCCATCTAGATAAGTACAAAGATCATTCTAAAAACTAAAAATCAAAAAGTATTTACAAAAAATGCCACCGAAAAATTTATTGCATAAAGTTATATATTTATCACTTATACCTTACGTCTATAATGTTCATCATAATTTGTTAAATCGATGTTTGCTAGAATATGTAGGACGGTTTTTTGATGTTACGCTTTCAAAGGTTCTTCGGACATCCGAAGACCGGATCAGGTTTTTTCTTAAAAAGTTTCATTGTACTTGGAAAAAAAAACCCACAAATTACTCCCGCTTAAAATTTGTAAACAAGTCATGCAAGGATTGAATAATGGAAAAAAACGTTCAAGTTGTTATTTAAATCAAGCAGTTTCGCTTACTTCTTCGAGAGACATCGTCAGTGCGGCCAAAAGAGAGCGGGACAGCGACTAAGGCCGTGGAGTTCCCAAAGGCCCCAAGAAGCTGCTCCCCACTCGGCCGCTTTAGTTTTTTTTCCACCCCCCTCGACGCGCAATGGCCTCTTTTGATTTCTGGTTGAACAAGGATGGAGAGTTTTTTTGGATACATGAACGTAAATATTCTCCTGGACGACCCAAAAATTGGCTGAGAAAATCTGGACAGTTGTCTGTCATAATTGCAAATTATATGACGCTCTGTCATTAAAAACCCAGTAAAATTCTCTCCATATCATAAAAATCTTCTGAGAAACGGTCGGAAATTATTTATTTGTACATAACATTGAATGTTTTCTCTTTTTTACCACGAAAGACGTTGAACGCCTAATAAAACTGAATATTGTTGCGCATTAAGAGAATATTTCCAGATAATAGATCTCGTCCTACTCACATCTCGTCGCATTGTCAGAAAATTCACAAGATTGCCGCAAAGATGTTTTTAAAACTATAATATAAAAAAAATTATATTTCCTTCTCGTGATCAACCTGTTCTTCTTGCAGTTTCGTTCACACGCGTTTCTAAATTACGCCATCTTAAGTAGATGGATTATTAAAGAAAGTCCCAATGGCTAAAACACTGTCAAAACAGTGTTTTAATTTTTACCCAATTCATTAAATGATATATTGTCAGTGTAATACTAGGGATAATATTTTTCCAATTAAATAAGGTTTTGGTTGAGATAAAAAAGTCAGTGTCACTAGCGGGATTCGAACCCACGATCTTCGGCTAGATACGCTGCTGCTCTACCACTTGAGCTATCGTGACCTCGATCCACTCGGACATCAACTCCCCATCTCAACCTCACCTTTTGAATTTTCAGAATTTATTTGGTCAAGCGGACCACGAAACCTAATAAAATGTACTAGGGATAATATCCAACAGACTAAAAAAACCACGAAAAATATTTTCTTTCTCACGTAAAATATCAAATGGAGCAAATTTTTAAGGAATTTTATTAATTAAACAAAATATATAAAATTAAATCTTCTACAGGAGATTAAAAATATTCTAAAAAACGATTTTATGCTCGTTGATTGCATGATTAAAATAAAAAATTAAAAAAAACAAAAAACAGTTGCTTGTGAGAAGGTTGAAGCATTAAAGCAACTCTGACAAAATGTTATCACGTAAAAAAATAGTAACAATAAATTGGCCAAGCGGTCCACGAAACTAATGAATTTAATAACAATAAAAATTGAATAGAAAGGGTAAAGTATCAGTAATATAATTAACAAAGTTTCACAATAATATTGTGAAAATAAATTTAAAAAATTATCTTTTGCGCTTGAAGTGCTAACAAACAAGTGGAAATTTTGTGTATTTTCTCGGAAGAACCTTTAAAAGCATTATCACTCTTTTTTCCTCAACAGCGAATCGCTTTTAATGTCTTCAACCTCTTGAAGGATCATGAGTCATGATTACAAACGATTAAAACGTTTTCGTGTTAGCTTAATATTAAAAGCTGATTGTATAAGATAAAGAACCGGTCGGAACGACAAAAAAATAAATAAGTTCATGTTGTTCTTTCATATTTACCTCTTGTAATATCAGGGAAAAAGTGAAAATTTGAAATTAAAACTTTCCCTCTCTCTCTCACCCTGTCACTCTCTCTCACCCTCTCCCTTTCCATCTCTCCCTCTCTTGCTCTCTTTCCTTCTGCTCTATCTATCTTTCACACTTTCTTTCCTTCTTTCTCTCTTTCTCTCTCAATCCTCTTCTCTTTTTTCTCTCTCATCTCTGTCCCTCTTATCNTCTCTCTCTCTCTCTCTCTCTCTCTCTCTCTCTCTCTCTCTCTCTCTCTCTCTTTCTCCCTCCCTCTCTCGCTCTCCCTCTCCCTTTCCATCTCTCTCTCTCTCTCTTGCTCTTTCCTTCAGACTTTATCTATATTTCACACTCTCTTTCCCATTTTCTCTCTTTCTGTCTCAATCTCTAAACATAGTAAATACGCAGAACACGCAAATAGTCTGGGTATAATAATGCATGAAAAATTAAGTTGGAACAACCAAGTGAAATATATATGGAATAGCGTTTATCGTCGTCTAAATCAGTTTGAAAACATAACAGTAAATCCTTGATTTAATGTGAGAGTACAATTAATTAAAACTGTAATGTTTCCCCAGTTTGAATAGATGCGGAGTCAGATATGTAAATAAGAAAAATACCACGTACCTCCAAAGCGCTCAAATCGGAAGCATAAGTTAAATATTTAGAGTGAAAAAGTGAACATATAACTCGACACTTTAGGAAATTAAAAATTTTGAAAATCAAAGAACGTCGAGGGTTAAAATTATCTATGAATACAAACTATTGTATTAACTGTAATTAGCTAGTCAGGTAAATAATAAAAACAATATTATCCAACTATTTGTATAAGAAAATTCGATTCTTGTAAAGAGCTCACGACCAACAAGAGGCGTAAACATCAGATTAAGGATAACAAAATATTAATCATCAGCATTCAACAAATCATTTATAGTTGAAGCAAAGCGCAATTTTAATAATTTAAATACAAATTTAAATATAGAACAAGAATATTCAAGGAAAACATTAGTAAAAACATTATTGTCTACTTGTTATATAACTCCTTACTGAATATATAAATACATGTATAAATAGTACAACGACGCATTTGATGCACCGAAAATGTATTAATTATTTATTCTTCTTGTATTGTCTTATTTATTGTATTAAAAACACTGTTGAGAACAAAAGGAACTTTATTGCAATAGCACATGTACAAGACTAGACAAGAACTGACGGTCGCGCCGCCTATCGATACATACAACAGACTAATCGATTAATTAGTGTTCGGCGGCTTCTTCAACACTCCCCCTCGAAGACACATCCATGCCCATCCTTGCTATGCACGTGTTGTGCTTGTGCTTGGTGAGTGGCTTCGTTAATACGTCCGCCGGCATCTCTTGGGTTGATAGGTATTTTAAACAGACGATGCCTTCCGATGACGCTTCCTTCACAAAATGGTGTCGCACGGCTATGTGTTTGGTCCTCGGGTGAAAACGCTCATTTTCGGCTAGCTTTAAAGCGCTCAGGCTGTCGTTCATTATGGTGATCGGTTCTCGAGGGTAGCCAAATTCCGTAAGTAGTTTGTTAAGGTAAAGTGCTTCTTTTGACGCTTCTGTAAGACTCATATATTCTGCTTCGGCACTAGATAATGCTACTGTCTTCTGTTTCTTGGCTTCCCAGGTAACAGGTCCTCCTGACAACATAAAAATGAATCCTGTGTAAGACCTTCTGTCTTCCTGGCGATTGGCCACTAGACAAGAACTGACGGTCGCGCCGCCTATCGATTCATACAACAGACTAATCGATTAATGAGTGTTCGGCGGCTCCTTCAACATATTGCTTTATTGAACTTTAGGGTTTGACAGACTTTAAAATTGCATAATTTTTTTATTTAGTAAATTGTATGTAAAATTTGATATAAAAATACATAATATTCAATTATATGTAAGATATATATGTATATGTAATAAGTTAAATAATATTAATATAAATAATATGGTTTAGTTGTAGTGGTAGAATATGTAGGTTTATAAATTTTATATAAACGTAATGGAACTCGATAAAACGTGTACGTTATCTAAGAAAGGACAAAAATGTCATGATAGTATGAATAAAAAACAAGTTAAGAAATATATTTTTCTCTATCTCCTCTCTCTTTCTCCATACCATTTTTCCTCTCTCTCCCTCTTTCTACTACCCTCCAGTTTTTGGTAAATTAAACTGAAGGAGATTTCAATTTACAATAAAAATTGTCGGCTTTTAAACAAAATATCAGACACGGGTTATTCCAGTTCATCGCCATCTATTTGTTTTGCCATCGAGATAAGATTTGATTTTCTGGATTTTGCTCGATAAAAGCCAAGCTAAATATCTTTTTTTTAACAATTTCGTCGCAAAATTTAACCCGAAGCTTATTACGGACAAAGTGCATAAATATTAACATACTGAATTATTACAATTAATTAAGGTTTTTAGTTAAGATAAAAAAGTCAATGGCACGAGCGGGATTCGAACCCACGATCTTCGGCTAGATACGCCGCTGCTCTACCACCTGAGCTATCGTGACCTCGTGTAATATATTAATTAGTCAAGCGTACCACGAAATTAGTGAATTTAAATACTGAATTATTTTGACATGTTGATTTTTTATTTGAAGATAGTTGTACGTAATAAAACATTTTTCAATAATTAATCATGAATATCCAACAGTATACCTATAACAATACATGGTTATCATGAATTTGATAAATTGGTGAATAATACCTTGTATTTGTAAGGTTTTTTCTTTATTTTTTTAGATTTGCAATGGTTTACATTTACAACTGAACAGCAAAGGTTGACCTTAATTACTTGTACAATTTGATAGCTTTTTATTGTTCATTAGGTTAAAAATAAACAGGTAAGAAAGTGTAATAACAATTTTACATTTGTTCCAGGGATCTATCTTCGTTCATGTCGTCTCCATGTCCTAAATTGACGCTATCATAAACTTTACATTTTGTTTATTAAGTTCTAAGACACATATCGAAAACAATTTATCTTTTTTGGCTGGTATCGGTTGACATATCACTGTCACGAAATTAAAAGCATATCTCTGTCCTACTAACCCCCATGATGTTACAAAAAACAATTTGATATCAGCGGATCAATTGTAGATATTTCTAAAGAAATGGTTAAATTTAAAAAACGGCTGTTCTTGATCATAATCATTAAAATAAACGGTATTTTAATCGATCGAATTAAAAATCGAATGGATCAACCAGGTTGATTGGGTAAAAAATCAATCCCTATAAGTACACTCCAAATAATATTAACGCATTTTTTTTAAATTTATGGTTAAATGCTTTTTATAATAATTATATTGTTTAGAGTGCAATTTTCGCCCATCCGATGTGAAAGACTGACAGTGAAGAGTACTTGAGGCGTCATCTATTGACGATCCGTTTGGTTGGAGCTCTTCATCAAAGATGGCGATGTCGTCAAGATGAAATGCCCAGAGACT